GATATAATCATGACATGCCCATCATAATGTCTTATGGAGCATTTGCTTCGGCATATGCAGCCGCCGGCCACCATGGATAGCTTATAGTACAGTACCACTACTACAGGCATAATAAAGTTATACTTTAATGGATTAATGTGAGTCTGGCCTGATATACAGGTTTTCTCAAACCATGTATCATATGTGGGCTGCATACGAGTCATTTCCCAATATAATAAGGTCTTCATGGTAACTGATCCATTATCTCTAGATTTTTCCCCTCCCCACTGAACTAAAAAAGTTGCGGAGATGATTTGTTTAATTAAATAATCCGAGTGTCCGAATGATTTACACTTTGCTTATTAGGACAATCATTTGCAGTTGTAGTCCACATTTTGCATGGCCTTGTATTGATAAAAAGAAAAAGATTAGCTGCTTTTTCCCGGTTGTTAAGTATTAGGGGATACATGATTAACACCATATGTTCTGAATAGGATTGGTGAAAATATTGAAGAAGTATGACAAAAGAACAGGTGCTTTGATCCGCTTGCCTTTCATTCAAAGGGTTCTGCAGCAGCCCTTCTACACTACAGACCTTCTTTACAAGCTGGTCAAGGAATGTGAGGTGATGCTGGACCACCTGTTCCCGAAGAACGAAAAGCCAGCTTCGACCGGATTAGAAAACAAGGACGATGAGGATGATGATGGATTTGATCCTTCAACGTCCTCTACTTGTAGGAGTGAAGATGGCCTCAAAATGCCTGAAGAGCTGGAAGAGATCAAGTACATGGAGAGCCTATATATGAAGAGCAGTATATCGGCATTGCGAGTTTTGAAGGAAATCCGGAGTGGAAGTTCGACCGTTAGCGTTTTTTCATTGCCTCCGTTGGGCAAGACATGGAAAAAGGTTCCTGTTCTTGAACAAACTGCCAAATAGTTTGAATTTTGGTAATAGAACTCAACCAAGTCTGCAGCTGATAATTTTTACCTTTTAACATTTCATGCTGTTGTAACCTGGAAGTCTGAGATAGCAATACATGTAAATGCTATATATTTGATCAAATAAATGCTATATGTTGATACTATAGCAACTTGGTATAATCATAATTTTTTTAATAAATACTTATTTTACTTATTATATACATATTATAATATGAATGTTAATGTATAAGGAAAAATATTTAGAAGAAACGGAAATAAGAAATTAAACTACTATATATGGTTTCCCAACTTTTAGGGTGTTATCAATTTATTCACCGAACAATTTTTTTTTGTAATTGAGTCACTAAACTTTTAAGATGCTATCAATTTAGTCACTATTGTAAGTAAAATTATAACATTAATTCATTATTATATTTTGGTAATATGTTTTTTTATTAATCTAGAGTAACTATAAAATAGTATGTTTTCTTAGTCAATTGACAATGTATGCATACACACCCTGTAGACTCAACTACTCAAATCCGGGACCTCGAACCCATGACCTTTAGAGATAACAATACTCGCTTTTACCATTGAGGTCATTTAATGAGTTCTCGTATCGAAAAGTTAATCAATCCCATGCTAACTAAAACAAATGGTATTAGAGTTAATATTAAGAAACGGAAACAAAATTACAAAACATGTTTTGTATTTTCTATCTGCAGCCATATAGCCACAAATGTGCTCAAAATTTGAGCATTTTACATTAGTCATCAAATGTGCTAAAAAATTCACCCATAAAGCCAGATCCATTACAATTCCCGCATAAAATCTCCCTTTTCCCCCTGCAACATACAACACCACGCGGATTAATCGTATCCCTAACATTGCTGCTGCATGTTTCATGCTTTTACTATAAGGTGCGTCACGGAATGTAAGATTATCAGTAGAAATAAAAGATTACCAGGGAATAGGATTACTGGGAATGTTGTATTTTGTGTTTGGTTGGTTTAGTAGGAATGTAAGATTACCGTGTTTGGTTAAAAGAATAAAAGATTATTGAAATGTATATTTGACCAAATTATCATCATTATATATTTGTATAATATTACAAGTTGTAAAAAATTTATATATTTTCTTTAAAAAATTAAATTCATAATATTTATATAATTTTTTCATAAAATTAAAAATATAAAAAATGTTTAATGAAAGGGTAAAATTTTATTCAACCCCTGAACTTCATATAAAATTTTAATTATAGATTTTTTTTTTGTAAATCTAAACTAATTTAAGGATAAATTTGTAATTTAACCTTCGTAGAATTTTTATTATTCAATGACAGAAGAATGATATTTTTGAAATAAAAATAAAATTTTAAGGGTATTTTAGTCCAAAATGCCGGTAATGTTACAATACCTAAGGGAAGTGAGGTAATGACATTCCCGATAATATACCCAAAAAATCCACTATTGGTAATAAAATATTATCGAGAATGACATTACCGGCCAAACCAAACGGGGAATGTGAATTTCATTCTCGGAGGAATCCCACATTCCCCCATCCAAACGCCCCCTAAAGGGTTTACAGAAAAGACTGAATAGTGTTCGTCGTGCATCGAACATAAGACTGCAACACGATGAACAAAGAAATGCGATGAACTCATGCAGTGAATTGGCTTTGAAACCATGAACGTGTCCATTTCTGCAACACTCCTACATGATGAACAAAGAAATGCGATGAACTCATGCAGTGAATTGGCTTTGAAACCATGAACGTGTCCATTTCTGCAACACTCCTACATGATGAACAAAGAAATGCGATGAACTCATGCAGTGAATTGGCTTTGAAACCAAGAATGTGTCCGTTTCTGCAACGAAAATGGTGGATTTAATCTTATCCACTTAGGTTGCTAGCCTATCATAATAACAAAACCGATGATACATGCACCAAAGAGACGGAATGAGACCTGAATGAAATCATCTCACCTTTATTCTTCTCTGCTCTACCTATTCATGGACATGAGACGGAACACTTTGACATCGGCCAACGATTGAATCCTCACCGTCTGCGACTCTATTCATCCTTACAAGCCATTAGTATCTAAATTATCCTTCATAGTAACCCCAACCAAAATTTACAAAATGGGTATTGAATTCATTGGCAAAATTAGTTCCCAAACCTCACTATTTAAATGGATTGTGAATGAAAAAGTAGTCTTACCTTAGATTCTAAAGAATGAACTCTGGAGCTCTTAAACGCTTCATTTACCCGAAAAGCCATCCTTGGGAAAGAGTTATTACCAATAATCATCCCTAAAACAGAAAAGGTCAAAACTTGGCCGTCTATGAATAAACCAACATCACTAAAACGTCTACTTTTTTCATTACCTGCTATACAGGGAGTGTTGAAGGAGCAAACACAAGTCAAACATAGAGAATCTGTCATTCTTAAGAGAGTTTTTCTCTCTTTTTTGTGTGTTTCAGCTTCAAAAAAGTATGTTGTCCTACTAGATAAGCCTAGTCGAATTACCCAAGTGCCCCTTTCGTAATGGTTACATGAAACGTCTATTGGCATCCGGAAAAATAGGGGTAACGAGGTCAATTTATTTGACAAACAAACCAGAACGTGCGGTTTTTATGTGTATAATATGTAGGCAAACACTATCTGCAACTAATAACTGGTCTGTATCCACGAATTAAACTATTAAAACGATGATTATTATTTTTAAAGATTATAGATTTGAGCACTAGAAACTGCACAAGTAATTGAGCTTTTATTGAGCAAATGTTCATACTCCAATAGATAATCCCCGAACCATTTTTGCAAACATGTCCGCGACCGGATTTGCTTCCCTTCTAATTAATGAGATCCTCATTTCCCATTTGTGGTCAAGGAGTTCCTTAATCATGTCCACAACTATCTTCTTCATATCTATAGTTGTCGTCGTAGGTAAAAGTTTAATCATCTTGATGTTATCAGTTTTAACTATAATCTTGCGACAGCCTAATCCTAAATATATCATGAAATACCCATAATTCAGCAATTAAAATGGGACAATTGCTAATATTCTTTGAAAAACCAAAAATCCGACTCGCTTGGCTGCATCAAAGAACACCACCTGCAACTGCCGTTATGTCATTTCTTCTCATAGCACCATCTGCGTAGGCCTTGATCCATCTCTTGGGAGGTCTTGTCCATTTTGTAAGATCAATTAATTTTATTTTTGTTACGTTTGAGCCTTTGAGGTCTAATTAGGATCAAATTAACATGAAAAATATTGAATCTGATTCGAGATAATAATATAATATTTTTCTTATATATTTAGGAATAATATCTTTATTTATATTTTTTCAATCAGATCTTTATTTTATCGAATAAAAAAATTATATTCATATAAATCTAATATAAGTTTTATCTTAAATCCGAATCGAATTTCAAGTTGAATAAAACTCACAGAACTTAAAGTGAACTGATCTCAAATAAGAGATGCAATATTTAGGTTGAATTCAAATTGATAGAAAATCTTAAGTTAAAATGTATAACTTAAATTTGGGTAAAATATGTAAATGGTCCCCCAAACTACAAGTCACTGCTTTATTAAATAAATTGATTATTAAAATAGTCTCCTAATTATAGTATGTTATCTTGTTAAGTCCACAACTATTAAAAGTCATTAAATAATTATTTAACTATTCATTTATTCTAAATTTATATTCGACGGCATAATATTTCAAATATTAGCTCATCCGTATAATATAAATGAATATTCAATCCGTAAATTTTTAAAATCATTTTATAACTTTCAATAATCGAGAGATCATTTGTATTTTACTCCTGAAATTAAAGATTTCAGATTAAAATAAACAATGTCTAAACTCAATTTAAGTATAAAAATAATAACAAAAGGATATTGTAATTTTTACATCAAAACAAAAGGATATGGATCTATTATCATGATAAAAAATATATAGTTTTACACAAAAAAGAAAAAAAGAAAAAAAATGAATCCTTAAATAAAATAAAATCAATTAAGCAAAAGCAGAAGGAATATGAAAACAAAAGGGCTAAACGCGAAGACTAATTCTTGTGGGTAGTCTTACGATACTTGTCTTTGATCCACTGAATCCCCGAAGAGGTTCCTTGTTTGACCTTCTTCATCCCGGTTGAAGCCACGGATTTGGTCTTCTCAAGCCCGTCCCCAACCTTCTGCTTGTACTTGGCGGTTGCGCCACCGCCGCCGCTCTTCTTTTCGTCACTACCACCTGTGGCAGCCGCCGGGTTGCTGGTGTCCCACTGGTCCACCCATGATGATCCGTGGCCGTAGGAATTGTTTCTTTCCATCACTAGAATCTTAAGAAATAAGATCAGATTAGCAAGTTTGGCAATGCTAAGAGGAAGTTACAACTAAGACGTTTGAATTCTCAACGCCTCTTCATATTTTATAGGCGTTCATTACACCAACGAGAAAACTTAGCCGTGTCGATTTATTTGAAATGACGAAAATACCCTTATTTTTTATTTAAGGAATATGTTTTTGCATGTCGAAGTAACGTAGATTTCTCTGATATACTTCAATAATTAGCTGAAATAAAATAAAATTTATTTTAAAAAATAATTATTATCACTGTATTGGATTAAGTTTTTTTTTAAATTACTGGAATAAAATAATATTTTATTTATCACCGGAGAACTTTTATTCAAACTAAAGTACTCTATCGAAAGAAAGTTGATAGGATAAGGATAGTTTGATGGTATGATTCAACTAAAAATATTATTGACGAAAAGTATATATAATTATTATTTGATATGTTAATATATATTTTTAATTTTATAAGTAATTTTTATTTATCCTCATATATTCTTAATTATTTGTATATATATAGATAATTAAAGATATATGATGTCAAATTACAATAGTTTAATGATTTGGACCATCACTTGAATAAAATTTAAAATTATATTTTTAGTTTAACTTGTTTAAAAAGTAAAATTATATCTATTTTAACCTTTTCTTTACAAAAAAAATATTATCTGACTTTTTGATAAATTATTACTTCAATTATATCCATTAATTAAACAAGTTTCTAGATAATTCCAGAAGCTCAATAATTTTAAAGTATATTTCCATTAATTTTTATTTTTTTAAAAAAGCATAAAGGGTAGTGTAGTCAACCCGATATATTTCCAATAATTTCCATTTATTGAGCTTCTGGAATTATCTAGAAACTAATGGGTGGAGGAAATTTGTTTGACAGTAATATATCAGTCCAGCACGATTATAATATTCTACTGTGGTTGTGGCTATGGTCGTAGTTGTAGCTGTGATATCATGATTGTAGTTGTTACAGATGTTATCATATGATTTTTTCTTTAACATGATTATATTTTTATGTTGTGGATACAATTTATGGTATCGCGATGATTTTGAAAAACATTACAATATGATTGTTACACTACGTTACAATCGTAATTTAATACTATACGCACAACCTCTCCAAGAAGCTTCTGCAATAGTCATGGCCTACGCCATGCCTCCGGCTCCACTCATGTTCACTTCATTATCTTTATTTGTATAAATCTTTTAGGGTATATTAGAACCACATGTGTCACACCCCAATTTTTAATTTTAAAACTTATTAAATTTAATTAATTGATTTTATGGATTAAACTACAAGTTTCTAAAACTTATGAGTTAGTTTCAAATATTTAGGAAGTTTAGAGACTCAGTTCTGAATTTCCCCATTGTTGGTCGGTAGAGGGGAAAAAGTAGGAAAAATGATGGTTGAGCTAGTTTGAACCCGTAACTTTAGGATATGGGTAACCATGCCTTAGACATATAGGTTAGGCTCCTATGAAGGTCTTAAATAATTAAAATAATTTTTAATAATATTTTGTTCAAATTACTCCCTCGATTCAAGAACCGTCTTCCCTTTAGGAAAAGCCAAACACCCAATTAACCCAAAAGTCATTTCTGTCGCCCATCTTCGTTCAGTCGTCTTTGGCCTGCGTTGGAGTGCACCGCCGCTATTAACTGAACTGATGTCCCACCCCGACCAGACCCAACCGTCGAAGGCACCAAACAAGCCACCATGTTGCCTTTTTCAAGAAAGAAGTCATTCGAAACCCCTCACCGCTCCTCTGTCTCTGCTTGTCGTTGAGCAACACCGACCATCCCAAACGAAGCACCATCGAATCCCAATCAAAACCCACCCGCCCAATCATCGAAAGCTGTCGTCGATCACCGTGGAGGAGTGTTCGAAGACACGTTGAAAACCCAAGATTGTTGTTGTTTTCGTTGATTTTGCACCGATTGGGTCACCGATCTGCCTCACCGCCGCCACTGTTAGACTCCCCATCATCGTCTGACCAAAACCCAACTGGTGGGTCGCGTCATTTTTTCCTTAATTAAGGTACTCGAGGATCTCCTGATCGTTCTTATGCTCGACCCGGTTCCTCCCGATCTGCTAGACCGCGAGATCCCGTTATTACTCGTATAGTTTTGTAACCCTGTTAGATACTCAATTTAGTGTACTAATATGATAATAATTATGTTCTGATATGACCTAGGTTCGCGTACTACCGAGGAGCATAGTGAAGCTAATGCTCAGTAGATTTCCGGACTGATTCGTTTTTGCGAGGTGTGTTCCTTGTGTTCCATATACATGTTTTAAATATTTGTTTGAAATGTCATGTGCACATGATTATTTTTCTTGATTTGAAATGCAATGTTTGATCTGAATTGAGTATTGTATGATTTATCTGTTTCAAGTCTGATTTCTGATTTACTAAAGTTTTTAAGCATGCTTGTGTGATTCATGTTCTTTGATTATTGTTTTTACTAAATTAATATATGTTGAACTTGATTTCTATGTTATTGTTATTTATGGTCTAAAAACTATTTTTTCGGAGTACTTGGGATCTGGTATGAAGTCTATGCAGGTTCAGCACTGATCAAGCTGATAATTCCTCATGCAATTTCAGCCCTAATCAAGCTAGTAATTCCTTATGTACTTAAGGCGACCCTTGGGTTAGCTCCTATGCCCAATGGGCCTAGTGGTAAGACCTTATGGATCCTAAGGTACTCCCTTAGGGTGGCTCCTTTGCTATGTGCATTGGGTAAGTCCCTATGGGCTTAAAGGTACACCCCTCAGGTGGGCACCTAAGCTTCAGCTAGGGTAAGACCTTATCGACCCAAGGTGCCCTTAGGTTGGCTCCTATGCCCTTTGGACCTAGGGTAAGTCCTTATGGATACTGTTCTGGGGAACTACATATGGAGTACGGTTGGAGGGTTATTCTGTATTTTAAACTACAACTCTATTGTCGTTTTCATAACTTTGATAATTAACCGATTTTGAAACTCAACTGTATGTTTTATTATGTAATGCTGGAACACATTGAGCTTGTAACACCCAATCTGTATATTTATACCTATACAATTACGGATGTCAACCGTATTTAGAAAACCATTATCCAATTAATAACAACTATTTAAAATTATTTTCTTAAAATGGTAATTGATATTATAAAAATATCATATCAATAATTTATATTTTGCTATAGCTAATTTAATTCAAAAGATTTTTTGAATAGTGAACAATACCCATGAACATGAACAATACCTATGAACAGTGAGGGAATCGGTACCTTGTAGGGGTATCGGTACCCCAAATGCATTCTGGAAAATTTTGCTTAAAACGTTTATTGTTCACTGCTACAGTAACTACTACGTACTTTCGAAAATACATATAAATTCATAAAATTCCTTCTTTTGTTTCCAATTTTGTTCATCAAAATAAATTAAACATTTATAAAATTACATGCCACTATTTAAATCAAATTCCATCATAGGATGTCTTACTGATATTGAAATATACCTCTCGATGCTTGATGTCATTCCGAACTCTTTATTATTACTGGCTTTTTACCTAAGCGTGAAAATCATCACACTAAGTATATACTTAGTGAGGCAATTTAAAAACAGTAAACAGTGCAATACAATTCTTGCATGATTTTCAATGTCAAATTCAAAATGCCATAAAATCATTTTATTTGCATATACAATATTTTACCATGATCAATATAATATAAAATCTTTTACCATTTATCCCATAAGCTCGTAAGCTTATTTTACCAAAATACTTACCATTTAAATTCCATAAGCTCGTAAGCTTATTTATCAACATACTTTCCATTTAAATTCCATAAGCTCGTAAGCTTATTTATCAATATACTTGCCATTATTCATAAGCTCGTAAGCTTATTTGCATACTTACCATTTATTAACCAATAAACCATAACTCATAGCCCATAGTATATGTATGAGGAACCTGATATAGGAGTCAAATATTGCACCGAAGTGCTGAGGTCGAGCTTTGCTCACCTAATAATGACCGTAGTGCTTATACCGTGTCTTCGTTAGATACTTTGAGGCCTGCACTATGTGTCTTCTCTAGACACTCTAGTACTACCTAATATTGCAGCTGCTAGACTCTATGGCATGCCATTAATACCATTGATCCTCAATAACATACTTGGGCATATAGTCAATTTTATTTGATCCATTAATGGCAAAGTATATTATCATAATTTAACAATGGGGCAATTCATACCCAAAAACATTCATGGTAAAATATCACATTTTCATAATCAATGCATTATAATTTCATACAGTGACATCTCAATGTCATGTCAATTTATAAAAATGACATAATATCATGCTGATATAAACAAGGTCGACTTATCGCAAGTCTTCCTGATGATGTATAAAACATCCATGTATAATTTCATGCATGTATTGCACTCACCTTGACACTTTGTCTTTCAAAAATATATGAGCCTCACTATTGTCCACCAAAAACCCTTTTATATTTGATTTGCTTCGATTACAAATCAATCACAATCTGTATATATCGCCATTCATAATGTCACACCCCATATGGGGTTAGATTTCTTTCAATTTAAATATGTGAAATAATATGAAGTTGGTTTTCAATTAATTATTTTATCATATCATTATATATTAAACAAATTGAGAATGATATAGTAGGTAGAAGGGGACAAATTGTTGGGTTGGCATTCCATGATTGAAAAAAAATTATACAAAATCAAACATGAAGACAAAAGTATGTGGAGTCTGACAAAGAAAGCAACCAAATGAAGTGAAGACTTTGTATCATATACATGTAGCTTGTTGTGTTAATTATCTAAGGGTAAAAAGGGGCACGTAGAAGAGGAAAAATGATAAAGAAACCAAACCAATAATAATGGAACAGATAAATCCAAGCAAAGCTATGAGTGATGTGAATTGTTTATTATTATTATTTTTATAATATGGAAAAATAGAGACCACAAGTGAGGGAAATCAATCAACCACTCCTTGCCTATTCGATATCTCTTTCTGTACAAATAAAAAATGGCTTCAACCGAGAACGTTAGTTGCAGGCAATCAAATACCTCTCGGCTACAAAATTTGGTGCCAAGTTGCTTGGTGTATTTGGAAATGGGATGGTACAATCTTTTATACATGCGCGTGTATTAACTCCATCAAACATGAGAAAGCTAAAGTTGGCTTCTTAAATCGTTAAGCAACTTCGAAGGTTTCATCGAGTGGAAATTCCAGGTTCTAAAGAATCTTAACTATGAGTTGACCTCTTTAAGTTCTTTGAGAAAGGAATATAGGTTCTTGGATGGGATGAGCAACAGGTACGTTTAATTTTGATGGAGAAGATGATGAATTTTTGCAGAACATGAGTTCTCCGAGACTGAGCAATTCATTTGAAAAGAAAGCCGATGCCAACTGGGAAAGAAGATATGTTAATCCTATATCATAAAACATGATCAGAAAAGGAAGCTATGGAGGGTTTCTAGCCAAGTCAATCTGTCGTAGCTAAGTCTGCCGCCCTTGGAGCTTCCTCAATTCAGAATCGGTCAAAGGGTCCAAACGATGCATCAATCACCAGAAGAATAAAAGAAAAAAAATAGAAATTGTGAAGGTTGCGTGAAATGGAGAGTGGTTTCATAATACATTGAAAATCACGTGTGTGTGGGGTTTGAGATAGTAAGATGGACAATCATAGTTTCAACCCTTATGTTGGTAAGGTTCTAACTTGTCCATCAGTTTTAATAAAATTTCAACCAAGTTATGATAGTTTAAATTAATTCAATCTAGTACCTGATTTTAGTTGTTATATATTTTAACGACAATGAAGTTTTAGTTTTATCATTTGGTTCCGAACTATTAAATTAGTTTCTTTAATCATTTTTTATTATGAGGGGAATTATATTGGATTCAAGTTCGCGTATTTGATGGTCCGGGTTCGTGAGAGAAAAATTGGAATCTCGACCTTGTACCTCCGATCCATCCGTATGCTTTGCTATGTATTCGAGACATTATGGACCGTGGAATTAAAGTTGAGAACAAGCGAATGGAGTTTAAATGGTCGATCAGAATGACACGGAAATTGAGGTATACTTTACTACCTCTTTATGCTTTATGGAAACATGTTGATATCGGTAAATGCATGAATAAGATAATGTGATCACTTTTGTAGGAGTGAATAATTTATACACTTGATATGAATGTGGTAGAAATTATACACTGAATACGGATCGAATGACTATATAAGAGATTGATAATTGTTGGAATTAAATTACAAGTTTGTGATTGGTGATAAAAAATCACTATGGATTGTAACTTCTATTTTATATCATCAAGGGTTAAATGTTAAAGGTACTTGGATGGAAAATTATGAGAATACCGGTATGGTAAAATTACGAAATTACCCTTATATTGGAAAATGATAAGAATTGTCCATGGAAGTTGATTAGTAAATCTGAAAAGACATATTGATCTGAAAACTACTTATGTGCATAAGAAATGAGTTTTGTATAGAATGCGAATAACCGGTTTTTAAAACCAAGAGGTTTGCAAGATACTAGAAGTCTGTTAAGGAATCATTGAGATCAGAGAATGTTAGGGAAAGAAATTAACCATAGGATCTCTAAATCATAGTTACTTTCGTTAAGAGTTATACCGAAATTATTGGGTTAAGAAATTATGAAAATGCCTTGAAAGGTAAAATAGTCCGAGTTGACCCTGAATAAAAAAGTACTTTGAGGATTCGTACTTAATCGATTAAGTAGGTTTGATTGTTAAGATCTGACTTAGTGCAGAAAATTCCTGATAACATGTTTGTAACTTCTGAAAGGCAATTGACCTGAAAATCTCCGAGTTAAGAATAAATTATCGATGGTGCTCTTCTGTCAGAATTGTCCGTATAGATGGAATAGATGATAAGTCTGAATTAAATAATAAGATCGGACGGAAGGATGATTAAACTACGTGGGGTCTATAAAATGACAAAATACCTTGTGATGGAAATGAATCAAGAGTATCACCAAGTTCAGGATGAATAGATATCCTCAGCTTTGAAATGAATGGAAAAAACATTTGAGCACCAAAATGACCAAAATGCCCTTATAATATCTAAGTAAATGTCTTGGATTAATTAAGAAATTTTAAACATGAATGTTGTACTACTTTTAATGTTATTAAACGCATTTAAGCCTGTCAAACAATGATAGTTCTATATCATTACTTGAATGGCATAGGTACCACTTGAATGCCAGTTCGTCTCCTCAAGTTTGGATTGATGATAATTATGGAAGTACTCAGCTCAGCTCAACGCTAGAGCGCATTCGATATTAAGAAGTGAATATTTGTGGGATAAATCAATTACGAATACCAAAATGATTTTAGTATATGACCAAAGTGAAATGAACGGAAGTAAAACATATATCCGAAACTCAGAAGTGTCTGAATTAATCTGGAAAACTCTGAAGTAACCGAGATAGACTTGCGTGCTAAACGAACTAAGTAACCTCAATGACTGAGGATTTAATAAGTGATTGGATGAGTTTGGAAACACTGATAAATATACATGATGAATTATCTTTATGGGTCATGAACCATGAATTAAGTACGTTTTTATTTTCTGATATCGTTAAAACGTGAAAATGAAATAAATACCATAGAAAGATCTATTCAGCAATGATTACGAAGATGATTATGGAGAATTGTTGGTATTAAAGAGTGAATACTTGGAAAGTCAATAAATTGACGGGTCGACACGCATTAGTTCTAAGAGTTATTCAGTTTGAATAGTTCAATAAACCGATCGATCAGCACGAATTGTAATGTCTAGAATCTATGTTTCTCTTTTATTAGCTCAAATCACTCCGGTTATTCCTGAACGTTTCCCTGATGCACATGAATCATAGTGGGATTCTACAGTATCACCTTTAATTGTCCGATTAGATCGGTTAGTAATCGATTCTCTCTAATATAACCTCATTCCTGTAATCTGATCAAATTGCACGAGTTTCATGTTATCCTTATCGATAATTACAAAAGGCCTCTGAAAAATACTTGGATCCTCTAGTGTGTTCCCTATGTACTACATAATTGTTTTATCTGTTTTGAAATGTGGTACACTAAAATCTATGGTTATTGTTTTATGATGCACCGACTTACCGGTGATGGTTTATGGACTATGACTGATATATGATTATTGGTTTTCACTGATATATGATAACGATGATTACGGACCTAATGTGACTCTTGGGTAGGCTCACGGGCCCCAAGATGCTCCATTAGGTTGGCTCCCTTTTGCCGTGTGCTTAGGGTAAGCCCTATGGACTTACGGGCCTAAGGATACAGGCCCAAAGCCTATCCTTAGGTGGTTTCCTTTTTGCTGTGTGCTTAAGGTAAGCCATACGAACATAGTTCTGAGGAACTGCGGATGATGTACATGAAAAGGATTTAAACTACGAGTTTCAAAAGTGAAACTTCATTATGATTTTATGATGATTTACTGAACTATTACTTGTTTATTGTACCTACTATGATTTTTTTGTACTGTTAGAACACACTAGAAATTCTATTCGATCTCATGAAAACGTGATACTATGAATGCTTCCTATGAATTGTGATCTTCATGGTTTATACTCGATGAACTACTAATAAAACTCTAGATTAGTCCGCAATTAGTATACGTTTGATTCAATAAGGAAATTATGGTTTCCCATTTATCTGCATGACATCTAGCATCATCTGGTAGTTCTGTATTACTGAGCTTTCCGAAGCTCACTCTATTACTCACCATTGCAGGTTAAAAGAATTATACCATTGCATCTATCGAATTCAGTAAGGGAGCTCTTATGGCATTATTTTCAGAGTATGGTACAAGTGTTTAGGGGGCATGTAGATTGTATTTTGTTTTATATACGAGTATGAAAATATGTTTTATTTCTGAATGCTGATAAAGCAATTATGAGTTACATGTTTTAATAAAAGTTTTAAATTTTCTGCTATTTTTACAATGGGTCGCTCCGGTGACCCTAATGTGACACTCCATATCGGATCGGGATATCCAAATCGGTCTGAGGGGGTTACATTTAGTGGTATCAGAGCTATGGTTTGAGTCAAAATTTACATGATAGATCGGCCGGTCGAATGTTAAAATATGTCTAATCAGTACATGCCCCTAGACTACAATCGTACTTCTCTGAGCCGGAACTCAAAGGTTGAGTCTTTATCTGTAATGAACAAACTAAGTTTTCATCCGTTAGGACTCTATCGTTTTATAAAGGAATACCAGTAACATCTGTCTAAACGCTGTAAAGTACCTCATGAGCCATGTGAGAGTTACTCATCTGAGAAATTTTGACCCGACTCCAGAAATTAAATTGGGATATGCTACTGCACTATGAGCCTATTCTCATGACCAAGACTGAATTGATTACTCAAGGTCATTTTCATTCGGATTCTTTTATTGAAAAAAAAGAAAAGTTCTGATAAGAATGTATACTCAACAGGTTAAGGATTAGTGAAGGATCTGTATTTATATAAAAGCTACTTGAAGATATGAAAAGAATTGATGGAAGTTTCATTTCTGCAATTCTGTGACATGAATGAATTTCGAGGACGAAATTATTTTAAGGAGGAGAGAATTGTCACACCCCAATATAGGGTTAGATTTCTTTCAATTTAAATATGTGAAATAATATGAAGTTGGTTTTCAATTAATTATTTTATATCATTATATTATTAAACAAATTGAGAATGCTATAGTAGGTAGAAGTGGACAAATTGTTGGGTTGGCATTCCATGATTGAAAAAAAAATATTATACAAAATCAAACATTAAGACAAAAGTATGTGGAGTCTGACAAAGAAAGCAACCAAATGAAGTGAAGACTTTGTATCATATACGTGTAGCTTGTTGTGTTAATTATCTAAGGGTAAAAAGGGGCACGTAGAAGAGGAAAAATGATAAAGAAACCAAACCAATAATAATGGAACAGATAAATCCAAGCAAAGCTATGAGTGATGTGAATTTGTTTATTATTATTATTTTTATAATATGGAAAAATGGAGACCACAAGTGAGGGAAATCAATCAACCACTCCATGCCTATTCGATATATTCTTTCTGTACAAATAAAAAAATGGCTTTCACCGAGAACGTTAGTTGCAGGCAATCAATACCTTTCGGCTACAAGATTTGGTGCCAAGTTGCTTGGTGTATTTGGAAATGGGATGGTACAATATTTATACATGCACGTGTATTAACTCCATCAAACATGAGAAAGTAAGTTGGCTTCTTAAATCGTTAAGCAACTTCGAAGGTTTCATCGAGTGAATTCCAGGTTCTAAAGAATCTCAACTATGAGTTGACCTCTTCAAGTTCTTTGAGAAAGGAATATAGGTTCTTGGATGGGATGAGCAACAGGTACGTTTAATTTTGATGGAGAAGATGATGAATTTTTGCAGAACATGAGTTCTCCGAGACTGAGCAATTCATTTGAAAAGAAAGCCGATGCCAACTGGGAAAGAAGAAATATGTTAATCCTATATCATGAAACATGCATCAGAAAAGGAAGATATAGAGGGTTTTTAGCCAACGTCAATCTGTCGTAGCTAAGTCTGCCGCCCTTGGAGCTTCTCAATCAGAATCGGTCAAAGGGTCCAAACGATGCAAAATCACCAGAAGAATAAAGAAAAAAAAAGAATTGTGAAGGTTGCGTGAATGGAGAAGTGGTTTCATTACATTTGAAAATCACGTGTGTGTGGGGTGTTGAGATAGTAAGATGGACAAATCATAGTTTCAACCCTCTATGTTTGGTAAGGTTCTAACTTGTCCATCAGTTTAAATAAAATTTCAACCAAGTTATGATATTTTAAATTAATTCAATCTAGTACCTGATTTTTTGTTGTTATATATTTTAACGACTATGAAAGTTTTAGTTTTATCATTTGGTTCCCGAACTATTAAATTAGTTTCTATTAATCATTTTTTTATTATGAGGGGAATTATATTGGATTCAAGTTCGCGTATTTGATGGTCCGGGTTCGTGAGAGAAAAATTGGAAAAATAGCAATTGAATAATAGGTAAACTACATATTTGGCAACCCATGTAATACCTCAAAAATTCAGATAATGACCAAAATGAATATTTTGAAAGTTTGATGGTCAAAGTAGAAAGTGGGGAAAAAGTTTAGGGAATTAAGTGATAATTTCCTAAAAGTATTTTATTTCATAAATAGATGGTTTACTCTGAGAGTGGAGTTTTATAGAAATCATATTTTTTTGGATTTGGAATTTTAGTAAAGAAAACTAGAAAGGGTTAAAGTCCAGTAAGGAAATCGGTATTTCAGATCAAATTGGAATTTTACAAAAATTGGAAGGATGTTATAAAATGGTTGGAAAATATTATTTTAAATTTTGGATCAGAGAAATTTGGTTTGGAATTGTGCAATTTTTTAGATTTAACCGAAACAGTGGAATTTAGTGACTAAAACAAAATTTTGAAAATTCATGGGCAATTTCGTGAGTCAAAGTCAAAATAATTCATCTTTGACTTTTGAAAGATGATAAGGATGACCTTGTCATGGTTTTATGGTGAATATGGATCATTAATGGCAAAAATGGAATTTCCTTGAATTGAATAAAAAATTCCATTTTTATATTAAGCAAGACATATTGATCTGATAAAACTACTTATGTGCATAAGAAATGCTAGTTTTGTATAGGAAATGCGAATAACCGGTTTTTAAAACCAAGAGGGTTTGTGCAAGATATTAGAAGTCTGTTAAGGAATCATTTTGAGATCAGAGAATATTAGGGAAAGAAATTAACCATAGGATCTCTAAATCATAGTTACTTTCGTTAAGAGTTATACCGAAATTATTTGGGTTAAGAAATTATGAAAATGCCCTTGAAAGGTAAAAATAATCCGAGTTGACCCTGAATAAGAAAGTACTTTGAGGATTCGTACTTAACTCGATTAAGTACGGATTTGATTGTTAAGATTCTGACTTAGTGCAGAAAATTCCTGATAACATGTTTGTAACTTCTGAGAAGGCAATTGACCTGAAAATCTCCGAGTTAAGAATAAATTATCGATGGTGCTCTTCTGTCAGAATTGTCCGTATAGAATGGAATAGATGATAAGTCTGAATTAAATAATAAGATCGAACGGAAGGAATTGATTAAACTACGTGGGGTCTATAAAATGACCAAAATACCCTTGTGATGGAAATGACTCAAGAGTATCACCAAGTTCAGGAATGAATAGATATCCTCAAGCTTTGAAATGAATGGAAAAACTTTGAGTACCAAAATAACCAAAATGCCCTTATGGACTATTCTAAGTAAATGTCTTGGATTAATTAAGAAATTTTAATAAACATGAATGTTGTACTTCTTTTTAATGTTATTAAACGCAATTTAAGCCTATCAAACAATGATAGTTCTATATCATTAGTTGAATGGCATAGGTACCACTTGAATGCCAGTTCGTCTCCTCAAGTTTGGATTGATGATAATTATGGAAGTACTCAGCTTAGCTCAACGCTAGAGCGCATTCGATATTAAGAAGTGGATATTTGTGAGATAAATCAATTACGAATACCAAAATGATTTTAGTATATGACCAAAGTGAAATGAACGGAAGTAAAACATATATCCGAAACTCAGAAGTGTCTGAATTAATCTGGAAAACTCTGAAGTAACCGGGATAGACTTGCGTGCTAAACGAACTAAGTAACCTCAATGACTGAGGATTTAATAGGTGATTGGATGAGTTTGGAAACACTGATAAATATACATGATGAATTGTCTTTATGGGTCATGAACCATGAATTAAGTACGTTTGTATTTTCTGATATCGTTGAAACGTGGAAATGAAATAAAGACCATAGAAAGATCTATTCAGCAATGATTACGAAGATGATTTATGGACAAGAATTGTTGGTATTAAAGAGTGAATACTTGGAAAGTCAATAAATTGACGGGTCGACACGCATTAGTTCTAAGAGTTGTTCAGTTTGAATAGTTCGATAAACCGATCGATCAACATGAATTGTAATGTCTAGAATCTATGTTTCTCTTTTATTAGCTCAAATCACTCCGGTTATTCGTGAAGGTTTTCCTGATGCACATGAATCATAGTGGGATTCTATAGTATCACCTTTAAGTGTCTGATTAGATCGGTTAGTAATCGATTCTCTCCAATATAACCTAGTTCCTGTAATCTGATCAAATTGCACTAGTTTCATGTTATCCTTATCGATAATTACAAAAGGCCTCTGAAAAATACTTGGATCCTCTAGTGTGTTCCTTATGTACTACATAATTGTTTTATCTGTTTTGAAATGTGGTACACTAAAATATATGGTTATTATTTTATGATGCACCGATTTACCGGTGATGGTTTATGGACTATGACTGATATATGATTATTGGTTTTCACTGATATATGATAACGATGATTACGGACCTAATGTGACTCTTGGGTAGGCTCATGGGCCCCAAGATGCTCCATTAGGTTGGCTCCCTTTTGCCGTGTGCTTAGGGTAAGCCCTATGGACTTACGGGCCTAAAGATACAGGCCCAAAGCCTATCCTTAGGTGGCTTCATTTTTGCTGTGTGCTTAAGGTAAGCCCTACGGATGTAGTTCTGAGGAACTGCGGATGGTGTACATGAAAAGGATTTAAACTACGAGTTTCAAAAGTGAAACTTCATTATGATTTTATGATGATTTACTGAACTATTACTCGTTTATTGTACCTACTATGATTTTATCGTACTGTTGGAACACAATAGAAATTCTATTCGATCTCATGAAAACGTGATACTATGAATGCTTCCTATGAACTGTGATCTTCATGGTTTATACTCGATGAACTACTAATGAAACCCTAGATTAGTCCGCAATTAGTATACGTTTGATTCAATAAGAAAATTATGGCTTCCCATTTATCTTCATGACATGTAGCATCATCTGGTAGTTCTGTATTACTGAGCTTTCCGAAGCTCACTCTATTACTCACCATTGCAGGTTAAAAGAATTGTACCAGTGCATCTATCGAATTCAGTAAGGGAGCTCTTCTGGCGTTATTTTCAGAGTATGGTACATGTGTTTAGGAGGCATGTAGATTGTATTTTGTTTTATATACGAGTCTGAAAATATGTTTTATTTCTGAATGCTGATAAAGCATTTATGAGTTACATGTTTTAATAAAAGTTTTAAATTTTCTGCTATTTTTACAATGGGTCGCTCCGGTGACCCTAATGTGACACTCTAGGTCGGATCGGGATATCCGTATCGGTCTGAGGGGGTTACACATAATGATACATATGTTAGTATTGTACTAACATAACATATCCCATAATAACTCCATTTCTACAAAATATTAAACACTTAATAATTCCTTTTAACATTGGACCCAACCTTTCCAATTTACACAAAATGGTCCTTCACCATTTTATCACTTAAATTCTTAATACCAAAATTCCAGCATTGTAATTACTATTATAAAAATGCTTTACAAAGGCATAATTACATTAAGTACCCCAACTATGCAAGTGTTGTACTTAAATCATCAATCTTTTCAAACTCAGTTCTCACATATAACACTTATTTAAATTCCCAACAACAATTTCTAGCTTAGTACATCAATTATATCACTTACACAACAACCATCAATTTTCCAGAATTTACAAATGATCCCCAACTTTTCAAAGCTTACGAAATTATCCCTAATTTTTTAAGGCTTTTAGAATATTTCCTTCATCATTTCCAACCCATATAATTTTTCCATAATTTTTTCACTCAAACCATTCATGGCCGAAATTTATAGAACAGTTTTAAAAAGATTAAACATGTTAATCATCATACATACTTGAATATGAATCTAACCTAAATCATCAAATTAATCATCAATTTCATGATTTTTTATATGAACACAAACCCTTAGATTTGGGATCTTTAGATTTGGGATCTTTGAAATCCAACAAGATTAGAAAGCAATATTAGAACCAAATGATAGCGTTTTCGCTTAGATCATTTTCCTATCTCACGACATAACTCCAATTCCAAAGAAATTAGCTCAAAAATTGAAAATAAAATATTTCTTACCTTCAAGCTTTCTCACGTGAAGATGCTGGAGAAGATGAACATTTAGCATGATATTTAGATTCAAATCATGCTTATCATCTTTTAATATAATATTAATCATTAACTGAGAAAATACCAATATATACCTTAATATAACCTCATAATTACCATAAAACCAAGATACATATCCTTCATCTTCAAAATCAATTAAATATCAGCTTTTCATCTTTTATAGCAAAGATGAACAAATTAGTTTTCCACTTTACCGTTTTGCCCTTGTAATTTCCAAAAATTGCAATTCAGTCACTTTAAAAAGCAATTCAAATTAAACATGAAATTAAACCTTTAATATTATTTTCCAACATTTTAAAATGTGAAATAATATTTTATCTTATTTCGTCACCTATTTTTAATTTTTTCTAAAATACATTTTGGTCCCTAGACTTTCCAAAGTTTATACTTTGATCACCAACTTTACCAAATTTATAATTTGGTCATTAAATAAATCCATTTATGAAAAAATTCTTTTGAGAAAATCACCACTTAATTCCTTAAACTTTTCCCAATTTTCTACTTTGACCATCAAACTTTAAAATTTTGCATTTGGTCATTATCTAATTTTTTTTGGGGTATTACAGAGCTCCCTAGCTCACTTTCAAAATTTCCCCTTCAGATACTTTGGACAGACACCCCAGACCAAGCACTTAGAGGATCGACACGTTCATATAGTATTTTGTTGTAATGTTTTATCTTCCAAATTGCCTTCATTTTGGTGACATGTGTCATATTTTGAAATACTTGTTTTGCGACTTACATGTTTTTCTATTGATGTTAGAATTACATCGATAATGATTGTGGAAGATTTTATTTACTCAGTCATTTATGGTTTTATATATATACATATACTCGAATTAAATCTCATTAATAACTATGTCTGTAAAGGTGTTTATTCATAATATGATTTTAAATTATTGAAAAATGTTTTAGAAATTTTTATTGTAATATGCTAGATCTAGTCGTAACGCATAGGCTAGGTCTAGGGAGTTACAACATGTCACTTAATTATTAATAAGTTTATAATTAGATCATTGTATTTTAAAAAAATAGCAATTGAATAATATGTTAAATACATATTTGGCAACCCATGTAATACCTCAAAAATTCAGATAATGACCAAAATGAATATTTTGAAAGTTTGATGGTCAAAGTAGAAAGTTGGGAAAAAGTTTAGGGAATTAAGTGATAATTTCCTAAAAATTTTTATTTCATAAATAGATGGTTTACTCTTGAGAGTGGAGTTTTATAGAAATCATATTTTTTTGGATTTGGAATTTTAGTAAAGAAAAACTAGAAAGGGTTAAAGTCCAGTAAGGAAATCAGTATTT